AATGATTCCAGTTCCTTATCCATTGCTTTCTGCCAAGCAGCCTGATCCTTAGCAGGATACAGTTTTAGTTCACTATAATTACTTGGAACTGTGTTCACTTGGCATACAACACTAGCCTGATATCTATCAGGTGGTCATGTTACTCGGGTTGAACGTCTTAGTAATACAGGGCTAACTGGTGGACTTTCCTGTGCCACCTGCTCCTGTTCTTCTACCTCTTCCTGTGCCTGTTCTTCTACTTCCTCCTGTTTTTCCTCTTTAATAGCTATTTGTGGTTTACTGATATCATCTTTAGGGATTATTTGGGTGTCAATAATAATATCATTGCTGGATTCCTGTTCCAGTTTATCCCACCCAACGTGCTCTAGAAATTTTGCACTAGCACTTACAATAAATATCAGCTGTGCCTTGATCCCAAAATCTAAATGATCTATGGTTGGCCTCATAACCCACAAAAAATTATTTCTTAGCTCTATGTTGCCCTTTCAGTCTTACTTGTGAGGGAATATGCACCCATGCTGGAGCTCCAAATGTGTGTAGGTAACTTAAATTTGGCTTTCTGCCATGCCAAGGAGTGAATGGTAATTCTCCAGTTGTTGTATTTACTACATTGTTTAAAACATGGTTGCTACACATTATGGCTTCACCCCACAGTGTTTCAGGTAAACCTGAATCAGATAACATAGTGCGAGCCATGGCTTGTAATGTTTGCCCTCTTTGTTCTATAAATGAGTTGTGTTGTGGTCTGTAAAGTGCAGAACATTTATGCTCAACACCAGCCAATTTCAACATAGTTTGGAATCTTTTGTTAACAAATTCAGTCCCATTATCAGTTACTAAAGTAATTACTTTACTTTTCATTTTTCTCTCAGAAAACCTTAGCCAGTTAAAGAAATGTTGGAATGTTTCTGTTTTGTTTTTCATAAGATAGCAGAAACTGTATCGTGAGTAATGGTCCATAATACTCAAAATATAACAGGCACCTCCTAAACTTGGTTTCTTAGGACCAATTATGTCAGCAAAAACAACCTCTAAAGGTTCTTTGGTCTTAAACCCATTCAGTCTGTTTGCTGGAGTAACCTTGCTTTTCTCCTGATTACAGGCATTACAGTTTAAGTACTTGCTACGGGGTTTTAATTTTACTCCCTCTGACAATTCAACAGTTTGTTTGAGCATTTTGAAATTAATGTGCCCTAAACATCTATGCAGTAAATGTATACATTCATCATGTGGCTTAACATTGTTATAAACTGAGTTAGCCATCTTCAACTGGTCATCATATATCACATATAAATCATTTTTTAAAGTAGCAGTAACACTTTTACCCTCTTTCTCTATTATACAGTTATCTGCCTTAAAGGTTACTTCATAACCAAGATTAACTAAAGCCTTTACTGATAATAAATTAAATTTTAGTTTAGGTACATATAACATAGTTAAATGTTTGTTTATACAAGAACAATATGCAGTACCTTCACCTGATGCTTTAAGCTTCCATCCATTTGCCAATGATACATGTTGTTTACTCGTGGACATCTTTACAAACCTTTTTCTATCTTTAGTAATGCACTGTGATGCTCCACTATCAACAACCCACAAATCATGGTTTACAGTTGAATTGCTAGACATAGCCAAACTAGCATTCTTCTTAGCCTTCTGGTGTTTACTAGTATTCTATTGTTTTCCTTTCTTACAGAATTTAGCTATATGTCCCCTAGCCCCACAAGAAAAACATTTCCTAACAGTATAGGCAGTTGAAGATAAATCCTCTTCTTGTGGTTGTTCCTTCCTCAGTTGGTCCCTATCCAGCCGTCTTCTTGCTTCTTCTAGCAACCTTCCAGTTATTTCAGTCAATGTCAGTTTATCTCTGGGCAGTACGTCCAGTGAAGATACATAATCATCATAACTTTCATCCAATGAGGAAGGAATGATGTAAACTTGATGCAGCTCTGAAAATATTAGTTCTTTTTCATGTAGCTCTTGAAAAGTTCTTTTCATGAAGTTTAAATGAGCTAACATATCTCCACCTTTCAGAAGACGTGCTCTAAACAGTTTACGTGTAAGATGTATGTGTGCACCTACAGTGTCATGAACATAAATCCTCTTCAAATTCTCCCAACACTTAGCAGCAGACTCTTCTCCACGAATATGGACTAGCTGCTGGTCACTCAGTGTTAGTCCAATTATACAAAGAGCTCGTTCGTTGTTCTGTTTAAAGTCAGCAAGTTTCTTGGCATCATCCTCATTAGCTGCATTCCAAGCATTTACATCCGGTGGGTCTTGAACTACATTCCATAAACCTTCTTTACGCAGAAGTAGAGTGCACTTCATAGACCAGGAAACATAGTTTGTTCCATCCAACCGGGTTATCAGTGACAGACTTGTTGAAGTGACTTGTGCCATCTTTATCAGGATAGTAACCCACAATTAAACAGTAAACAGCTGTTTGTATACAGTACTGTGCATTCACACTAACTTTCAGTTATCTGAGCCTGGTATGGTCTGGGCCCATAACCAGTCAGTGTTGAGGTAATTCCCCGTTAGGAGAATGAGCACATACAGGGACACGTATATGAGAGAAGTGTTTGAATAATACACATACAGCACACAGATACACTGTACAGTAAATGTAGGGTTTTACTTTCAATAAAGGTTTAAGCAAAGTTCAAAATAGGCAGTCCAAAGTCATTCACAGTTAAATCAGTCAGTTTTTTCAATCCAGGGATAATCCAAATATCAAAGTCCAGTGTCAAAAAACAGTTCAGTATCAGGCTTACATTAAATCCAGTAATATCAGTCAATTAGGAAAAATGGAGGAACGGCAATATTTTCCAAAAGAAGGAAACAGAGATACTCACTCAGACACACTCTCCTCTGAGACTAAGACTAAAACAAACCAGGTTTCTGGCTCCATCTTATGGCTGTTTGAAAAACCACACCCAATTGCATGCTCTTGCATTCCCTTAAAGAGACAATATTAAAATGTCTATCCTGGTTTATATATTTCTAACCCAAATACCTGTTAGGTGACTTATATTCCTAACAATATGCAGTGTAGGTTTTACTTTTATATGATGGTATTTTCAGCAAGGATTGCTCTGAAACACTTGTTAAAATACTTTTATTGTAGAGTTCTGTGTTGCAGTCCATTTTGTCTAGATATTGTGATTATTTTATTGTACAGCTTCAGCTTGCATGGCACTAAGAAAACCCTCTGATGAATTGGTTTCACAAACAAATAATTAAATAAATCTGTAATTTGTTAGCTAAAAAATTATGACTATATAAGATATATTTATCAATGGTAGTATTTAACAACTCTTTTTGTTTTATTGGAATTATATCCTGCTTTTCTTTCAGGGCCTGATTTATTAGTGCGGACAGTATATAGTAGCCTTGGAGGAACAAAGGCAGTAGAGAATTTCATTGACATGCATTTTAGATTAGTTGATCTAAGCTGGATTTCCTAGTCTATAGTGCAAATCAAACAAGAGTTTCTCTTTGGATTCCATAATTTTCCAGATCTTACTTATATGAAAATACCATCATATAAAAGTAAAACCTACACTGCATATTGTTAGGAATATAAGTTACCTAACAGGTATTTGGGTTAGAAATATATAAACCAGGATAGACATTTTAATACTGTCTCTTGGCTCAAACGTTGCACATCAGAAGTATTGCATTAATTAAAATTCAGATTCTTGCATTTAAAAATACCAGATTTGTTTAAATATTTAATGAATAGACTTACACTCAAGCATAAACATAGTTGAAGCAATTCAGATTTACAGTAGATAGATTAATGTATCCTTTTAAGGGAAGTCAGGTTATTAAAGTTAATTTTGTTTGTGTGCTATTAAGAGCCATAATAAATTAAAGAGTTGCATCATAACTTATCTATAGAAAGGTCAGTACAAATAAATGCTTAAAAATATGGTTACTGCCTGTACTAAATTATGAAGTATTTTTCCACTTATGATTTGTATGAAGGGATATAGCAAAAGGTGCCCACAGACCATAGAACCAAGACCAAATATGAAACTCATGGGCTTTATTGGACTCCTTTAAACAGCCACATAGATATGAGCATGCCAGCTTCCTAGAGATATTGAATGAAATGATTTCTATGGCTCCTTGCACAGGTCAGCCTGCTTTTAAAATTTTTACTAAGTAGAGATACTTATCTGCTTATTTACTACAGCCTGCCAATCATTACAAAATCACTGTGGTTGCTGATGGGGTTGATACTGCTTGCTTATTCTGTGTACTGTATTTTTCTTTTGAAAATTGCATCCTATTTTAATTCAAATAAGTTCCTTTTCAAGTATGATTGGCAGGAGCTCCCTCAGTCCAATGGAGGAAACTATCCACAACAGCAGTGAAACATTGAAGGGGTCAATCTACTCCCTAGTTATTTGATTGCTCTCAACTGTTTCAGTTAAAATGGTACTTATGAGATAGAGTTTTGGAGTTGCTTAGGAACTGTGTTCTGCTATCCAGGTGCAGCATTCTGATTTTACTCAGAGCCAAAGAGCCATTGCTGACTTAAATAATGCTGCATTGCATTATTTAAGTAGTGGACAAGGATCTCAGAGACTCAAATTTATCCTCCATGGTGGAAGCTTAATGGGGATTTGGGGCCGGTCAATCTCAGCCCAGCCCATCTCACAGTGTTATTTCTGAGGGGCAGGGGGAATGCAGGAACTTATGTTAAATGTGCCTCCCTGAACAACTGTGGTAAAAGTAGACTATGAATCTACTACTTACTCTGGCTGTGGCACATTTCAATTTAGGAAATAACAACAGGTTGTGATGAATGTGCTGCATCCTGTTGATGCCTCCTCAGTTCACTATCATATTTTCCTGGGATCACATGGTTACTACGAGAGCCATGCAATTATGAATAAAACTTGTAAACTTGTACACTTGTACACTTGTAAATGACAATATAATTTCCATTATTTTGTATTATTACCTTTTTCTATTCTTTTTTACAGATGAAAATGGCAAATAAATGCTGTTCTGCCTCGGACCAGGTAGGATGTTCATTGTGTTATTCCTAAATATATGTGATTTCACACTTCTTTTTCAGTAGGTTTAAAAAGAGGGGGGGGGGAGAGAGAGAGAGAGAGAGAGAGAGAGAGAGAGAGAGAGAGAAGCTCCTAATTATCCTAACAGTATGTGGCGTTTTATAGATTAAGCAGGTAGGAAAAGTATGTTTTAATGCCTGAAATAAGCCAGCTTAGGAAGCAAAATTTCACTAAACAGAAATGGAATTTGAATGTCCTCAGAATAAGTAAGGTATAATGACAAGAAAACAAGTGAAGGATTAGATATTTAGTTTGTTGACTTGCTTTGAAAATATAGTACTTTTGAAAGCTTTCTTTTTTATTATTTACTTCATTCTTAACAGATAACAGATAATCAGAGTTGGAAGGGACCTTGTAGGTCATCTAGTCCAAGCCCCCGCCCAAGCGAGAGACTACACCATTTCTGACAGATCACAGTCCAATCTCTTCTTGAAAGATGCCATCCCAGAAACAGCCATAGCAAGCACCATGGTCAAAATTGTTTAGCAATCATTCACCTTCATTTATCAAACATATGTTGTTTCCCTTTGCATGCAAAAGCAGATCAGAGATTTTGTGTGCCCTAACCCAAAGGTTCTCAACCCTTTCTTCACCACAGACCTCCCTCTAAATACCTTTTGTGGCCATGGACCACGGTCACAAACCCCCAAGACTTAACTCTATATTTAAATCATAACAGTTCTTTAAGCCTTCATGGACCCCTTGTGACAACATCATAGCCCCCCCTCTGGTTCTGCAGATCACAGATTGAAAACCACTGCACCAGACATTAAAAAAAAATAGCCAGCAAGGAGAAACAGAAAGAGAGAAAAACTCAGCCTATTTAGCCTAACTTTGTCTTCTACTTATCATTAGTCTTTGATTACAAGGCTCTGTACTCTTCTTTTTAATACACCCAACACAGTTGTGATAAGATTTACACAGTAATTACTTGCAAGGAAGCAGAGGAGAAAAGGTAGCATGTTAGGCTATTTCTGCCTAGTTCCCTAGGGAAAAAAATGTTTTAGTCCCTAAAGTCATAAGATTCTCTTCTCTGAGGAGTGGGACAATAGGATTCATAGCTACTAACAGCACCATCACACCAGGCACTAGACTGGGGACAAGCTAAAGTTCCTATTGATTCTAGCTCTTTTCCCAGTATCAACCCTTTACTACATCCATGAGAGAATTTTGACTACTGTGATTGAATGCAAGAAGGAAGACACCTGTAATTAGCATCTGAAATAAAGTTTGCATATTTCTTTCATTCTCATAGCTTAAGGATGTCTGCATTCTCATAGCACAAAGGATGGGTATATTTTCCTGTTTTGGAAAGTTGCACATGGAAATACCAAAGGCATGATTTAACCTTTTTGTGTATGGTTCATATACATTCAGCCATACTTCAGTATATACAAAGCATATGTTCTTATATAAATAACCCCAAATTCAACTCCTGACATCTTCAAGAAAAAACGGGAAAGGTTAGCTGAATCATTAGCAGTTGTTTTTTTTACCCCAGTTGGATAGAAAAATGAGTGAGTTTCTTATTTTCTTCATATTTGTGTTAGAAATTATACCTGGAATTATTTTTTGCAACATTTGCTTCTTATTATTTACCCTTGCTGTAAGTCCATCCCCTGAATATGTAGCAGAACAGAATCAAATCTAAGACAAATGGGATCACTTTTACAAAAGCAGAATTTGTTATCATAATTGCTTTAAATTTCAGTATCAGCTATTTTTCTTGAATCTATTGCATTTCTCAAATCTCTTGCAAGTCTATAAGACTTTTGTGGTTTTTGTTGTTTTAAGACTCATATATTTGCCTCAGTGTAGAAATGAAATGTCAAAACAGTAGCTTAAACTCGTATATCATCTTCTTGGAACTTGCCAAATGTTTACCATTCCTGCTCTGCAAATATGAACACTTCTTGAGTCTGCTTTGTATGCTTTATCATAATGTTCACAAAATTGAAAGTACTTATTTCTCTGTTATTTTAGGAGACAGCTAGATTTGTGACTCAATTGCTAAAATACACATCACACATCGCTACATTTTCTTGGCAAAATTTTGAATTAGGTTATGCCATGAATGGAATCCATACAACTTGATTTTGAATAATATGCTTAGCTTTATTTTATTTGAGATCTAAACCTAATATTTTTTTCAAGTTAACTGGAATTATTAACAACTCATACAGTACTGCATTTTTTTTAGAAAATGCAGTGTATTTAGAAATTGTAATTTCTGTGATTTCCTAATGCACAAACATATATGAATGTATGTGTCTATGTATGTATGTGTACATTTGTATATGTATTTGTATAATGTATGCGTGTGTTTGTGTGTGTGTAACTGCTTCTAGCAGATTTTTTTTTTTTTGCCTTAAAAGAAATAATTTGGGCCCAACAGCAGTGTTAATGGGGCCAGATTTTTGCTGCCTTGAGGGAAGGCAATAGTCAGAAAACACTAGTATAGGTAAACAATATCTGCATAACCTCTATAGGTAGTCATCATCTTATGACCATAATAGAATCAATTCATTACAGTTATAAGTATGAGAATTATAAAGCGGATCATCATATGACTGACTCAATTTTACAATTGAGTCAACTGCTTTCTGGAGCAGTCATTAAGCAAAACACCATGATAGTGAAGTGAATGCACGGTCATTCAGTTAAACCCATTGTTTTGATATGTGGTTTTTGCCAAATAGCTACAGAATTCAGACTTATATACTGCTTCACAGTGCTTTATAGCCCTCTCTAAGTGGTTTACAGAGTCAGCATATTGCCACCAACAATCTGGGTCCTCATTTTGCCAACCTTGGAAGGATGGAGAGCTGAGTCAACCCTGAGCCGGTCAAGATTGAACTCCTGGAGTGAGCACTGAGTTAGCCCTGCAGTACTGCATTCTAACCGGTGAAGTAAACACTGGTTTTCTGAAAAAAAAATGTAAATCATGGTCATGGAACTGCAGAATGCTGCAGTGAAGTATAAATGTGGACTAGTTGCTGAACACCCAAAATGTGATCATATGACCTTATTTCCAGGTTAAATCTCTCCTTGTTCAGTTTCCATCCATGATTCCTTATCTGGCCTACAGGCGCTTTAGAAAATAACTTGACCCCTTCCTCCCTATGGCAGCTCCTCAAATATTGGAAGACCACTATCATGTCTCCCCTGGTCCTTCTCTTTACTAGACTAGCCAAGCCCAGTTCCTGCAACCGTTCATTGTATGTTTTAGTCTCCAGTCCTCTAATCATCCTGGTTGCTCATCTCTGTACTTTTTCTAGAGTCTCAACATCTTTTTTATAATGTGGTGACCAAAACTGGATGCAGTAGTCTAGGTGTGGTCTTACTAAGGCTTTATAGAGTGGTATTAGTACCTCTCTTGATCTCGATTATATCCCTCTGTTAGCTTTTTTGGCTGCTGCTACACACTGCTGGCTCATATTTAGCTGGTTGTCCACTAAGACTCCAAGATCAGCTTACAAAATTAAGTACAAACCTCTGTGCGCCCTCCCTTCCCCTTCTGTGCCATTCTCACATCCTCTCACAACCTTTGCCCTCTTTTCACATTCCCCAATCTCCATCACTCCCCTGCATAATTTTCCTTACCCATGGCAGCACCTTTTGCACACTTTACCCAAGCTATATAGCACCTCTAGCACCCTCCAACTTGTACTGCACTTTCATGCACTCCATCACACCCTTGTTCACCCTCCCCAATCTCCATGGTGTCTCTTGTACACCCCATGCATCCTCCCTGGCCCATCCAGTGCCTCTCCTACATCGCCATAACCTCCTCTCTCACTCCCCCACCCAGCAGCAACCACTTACCTATGGTGCTTGCTCTATGATGCACCATTTTGCCCACTTGAAGGTTACAAACAAACAAACAGGAGGGTTTTAGTAGTATGAAAAGAGATGGACTGAATATGTTGGAATAAAGTCAATGATATGATCGGGATGCAGATATGAGTGGATTGTATATTGGTATCTAAGGTAAAATATACCAGAGCATCCAAAAGCTTCATGCTCTCAGGACTCCGACATGCACCCCCCATTCATATTGTAAGTCTCTAGCCACATCTCTCAGAGTGAAAAAGATTGATTTATTAGAAGTTGACATGTTGGTGTTTCCCGGTTGCATCCGAGACATCATTCATTTCTCCCTTGACCCTGGTCTCCCCCCCATGCCCTGGATGTATATTCTCCAATGAGACACATCCATAGCCAAGAGTCATCAGTCATGCTCTCCAGTAATAATTTTGCTAGCCAGAAACTTCGGTTGCCAAAGTGATTATCTGAAACCCTTAAGGAATGCGCTGCTTTCCCCCTCCCTTTCTGCTGACAACTAAAAAGAAGTATTTTTAGTTGACACATATGTCCGTTTTGCTGCCCACAATTCATTCTGAATAATACCATGTTAACTCTCAATAGTGAGAAGCTTATTTGCAGTTGTGTAACATCTTTTTAATTTGCACATAGTATGAAGCAGTTGCTTTCACTTTTCCTAAGTATGACATCTCAACCCACAATTTTCTGCTCTGTGTGTCATGATAGTCAGCATATATCAGGCCCTCGTACCTATTCACATCCACTACAGAGATACCTACAAGATGCTGACTGAGAGCATTGTCCTGAGAAAAAAGGACAAGTAACAGAAGCTCTGGAATCTCCAATGGAGATGTTCCGTTATATCTGTGCTGCTCCCAAACGTTTTGCAACCTATCAGCTGCATTTCAAAACTGTTGCAGTGAACACTAAGCAAATTTATTGAGCCTTTCATTGAGCTTTTCTCAATGATCTGCAAGACACCAGAAGTCATACAACTTCATACGTGATAGTGTGATGGCAATGGCCCAGATTTAGTATATATCACAGAAATTTCAAGACTATGTTTTGTGAAAATCAAAGAGTAATTAACATCTATAGAGGGTCAGTTTAGGATATATATG